CCCCAATCCTCCCTCTCTCTTTCAAAATGAAAACAAAAGGACAAATTTTTCATGTGTTTGGGGACTATTTTAAATGTCACTCAAGAGAGAGTGTTTGTAGCAACAGAGCTTTTCCTAAGGTTAGAACATTTACTATTGCCACAGTTTATCTCTTTGGATTATCAGCAGAGGAATCTGAAACCACAGCTATGTCATCCACTGGCAAAGTGATGAATATCACATCTATAATTTTTAATAAAGCATATATGAGATTAGAGGAGAAACACCCTGGTTACACTATAGATCAAGCAGCAGCAAACACATTTATAAACCGAGGCAGAAACCAAAGCCAACAGGGAAAGAACCAAACCCAGAGAGATACTGTATTCGTAAATTAACTGCCAAAACAAGAAAAAATACTTGTTCATGATTACACTATGACATTATTGCCTTCTTTTGCTGAAGCATCACAGCTTCAACATATGGCTGCATACAAGAAACTGTATTAGCCTTAAATATATATAGTGCTGGGAAAACAGATCTAATTCTCATGAGCCTTTTAAGCTTATGCACGGAAGGTTTTAAACACATTTTATTTCTTGCAACACACCTTGACTGTGGTTCTGAGATGGCTCGAAATCAGAGTCAGAGCTGGAGTCGGAGCTGGAGCTGGAGTTGGAAGGGCTGGACTGGACAGACTTAACCCCCCATAAAAGGGAAAAAAAAGAGAAAGAATCTTAACCTTTCTAATCCAGAAAACCAGTGCAGAGCACATAGCACAGTGAGACAGAAGCATGTGAGCACTCTACAACACCATACATCACCGAATGCAGTTCTCAGAATCACAGAAAATAGACAAAATACAAGGTAAATAAAAACAATGTTTATGAGAACTTGGATGCACTGAAGTTCAGCACTCCTGGGCAGCAGCAGCAGCTCCCAACAAGTTTCAAATAGCCTCAAGTGATGAAAAACTGCATCTGAAAAATGCCAAAGTGAAAAATCCCTCACTTTGAAACGTGAGAGACGACTGGCACACAGCTCAGCACAATTAGCAAAGCCCTCTTGAAAAGTGTATTTACTGTAAGCCACCAACATTCCCTCTGAACACCTCGTTCTGATCATTACACGTGGAAAGGCTGCCTATCCCAAGCAGCTCACTTGACTCCAAAATTAATTCTAATTTATGACTATACCCTCAAAACAGGCATTTCTACACCAATTTGAGCGACCCACTGTTTCCAGTTTATTGTGAAAACATAACAGGAACCAGCTAAACTCTTGTGAAACCAACACCAGTCGCTGTCAGTACCCAGCAGAGATGCCAGGAGCATGAGATGCAGTAAGAGCGAGTAAAAAGACATCACGAACCACTGTTAGTAACAGCATCCAGGAACCCACTTTTAATGCTTTTTTAACGTAAACCCAGATACCCTATAGCGATCACATGCTTTACCTTGAATGACCACCAGGTGGCAGCAAAGGTTAAATCAACTATTTGGTCCCCAAGAGGAGCAGGGACTGGTCCAAAAATCTTACTGAGTAACAAAAATCCCTTTAAGATCTAGTTTTAAGATTTGCAATCATAATATCACCTTCCTTTTTTTTAAATTCATCCTCTGGAAATGTATAATTTCATTTTCATTCCACCATTCCCCGGAATCCACCTATTACTTCCACTACCAAATCCTGATGCTAGAAAAAAAAATAAATCACACATTCCCATTGATCAATAAACTTTATTATGGAAGTGCCAATACTATAAGAACATTATAAATGGGTAGAAAGAGGCACATCAGCACCTTTGGGCATTAATAAATTAAAGCAGTACCGGGACTCTCATCCCAATACCACCCTCCCCTATAATTTATCACCCAAGTATTGTTAGAGTTTCATTTATTCAACTGTAAGAAGGCGGGGAAAAGTGTCAAAAAAAAAAGGGTTATTACAACCCTTGTAAATTATTCAGCAGCACGGGAGAATAATTTAACAATGCCAATATCTGATCTATTGGCATGCTGCAGCAGCCCTTTTTTTTTTTTTTAAATTACAGCATGAAAGGAAAGAACAATATTTTCAAGATAAGGGAGCACAGCTTGTGTCTGACCCTCACACACAATCCTAACATCTTTTGTTCCTGACAATCTAGCAGGTGTTCACCTAAAATGAGTTATTAGGAGGTAAGAAGCAGAAGTTGGAAGTTGTAAGGCCCCTCTCTCTCTCCTTTTGCCATTAACCCTCTCAGCTATTTCAGTTTGGGGGCTCCCAGCTGGACACGCTCCGTGTGCTCGGGCTGCGGTCACTGTCAGCGCGATGTGACAAAAGCACACGCCGACAATGGCAAAAAGCAACCCTGCCCTCACATCTCAGCTTCTCCCTTTTGTCAGCACTAGTGTTTAGGCAGCCAAGCATGAGGCCAGCTCAGGGAACTGGACTTGATGGGGGAAGGAAAAAAAAAAAAAAAAAAAAAAAAAAAAAAAAGAGGACAAGTAACTTTCAGCAGGAGCTGAAATGGAAGGAGAAACTCCTCCGGCCCATTGCAAAGTCACAGGAGCTCTCATGCCAGCTGCACAAATGAGAGCAAGACTGTTCCTTTCAACAGCAGCCTGCAAAGATGTCAACTCAAAGCCGTGGTGGAGTCGCAGGCTCGCAGCGCGTTGCACAATAACGTTGGCTGCAGCAGCAAAGCTGATTTAAGAGTTTCCGGGCCCCGGTCCACCTCCAGCTGCTCGTTCGCTTTAGTGATGTGGCTTAACACACAGACCCACAGCCAGCTGTGCCAGCACTAACCACCGAGCAGCAAACGGCAGGGTTTGGGAGGAAAATGAACCCCCCCAGGGTGGCACAGGAACTCGGTCTCCTCCGCTGATGCCAATGCATTATGCACTTCTACCCTTAAGCTTCAAGTTCCACAGAAACCTAAGCTGAGGTTCAACAAGGCCAAGTGCCAAGTCCTGCACTTGGGTCACAACAACCCCCTGCAGCACTACAGGCTGGGGGCAGAGTGGCTGGAGCTGCCTGGAGAAAAGGACCTGGGGGTGTTGGTGGACTGTCAGCTGAACAGGAGCCAGCAGTGTGCCCAGGTGGCCAAGAAAGCCACCAGCATCCTGGCCTGTGTCAGGAACAGCGTGGGGAGTAGGGCCTGAGAGGTGATTGTCCCCCTGGACTCGGCACTGGTGAGGCCTCACCTCAAGTACTGTGTCCAGTTTTGGGCCTCCTACCATAAAAAAGACATTGAGGTGCTGGAGCGGGTCCAGAGAAGGGCGACAAAGATGGTGAGGGGTCTGGAGAATAAGTCTTATGAGGAGAGGCTGAGGGAGCTGGGGTTATTCAGCCTGGAGAAGAGGAGGCTGAGGGGAGACCTTATTGCTCTCTACAACTCCCTGAAAGGAGGGTGTAGAGAGGTGGGGGTCGGTCTCTTTTCTCAAGTCACAGGCGACAGGACAAGAGGAAATGGCCTCAAGTTGCGCCAGGGGAGGTTCAGGCTGGATATTAGGAAAAATTTTTTCACTGAAAGGGTTCTCAGCCATTGGAATGGGCTGCCCAGGGAGGGGGTTGAGGCCCCATCCCTGGAGGTGTTCAAAAGCCGGGTTGATGTAGTGCTGGGAGGTCTGGTTTAGTGATGATGCTCCTTGTTTGTTGTGTGGGTGTCTATTTTTGTCAGTGAGGTTGACGGTTGGACAAGATGATCTTTAAGGTCCCTTCCAACCTAGAAGATTCTGGGATTCTGTGATGTGAGCAGCAGCTGCCGCGGTTCCCCCTCCATCACACGGAGTGTTCCTGCCCTCCTCCTCCTGGGCTAACGCTCAAATACCCCTGTCCAGCAGCCAACAGGCACCAGAGCTGGTGCAAGAGAGGACACAGGAGCACACAGAGCTCGGTGGGGGCAGGACAGGACGGCAGCGGACACTGTGGAGCAGCTGCCGCGGTTCCCCCTCCATCCCACGGAGTGTTCCTGCCCTCCTCCTCCTGGGCTAACGCTCAAATACCTCTGTCCAGCAGCCAACAGGCACCAGAGCTGGTGCAAGAGAGGACACAGGAGCACACAGAGCTCGGTGGGGGCAGGACAGGACGGCAGCGGACACTGTGGAACCACAACCACAGCTTGTGGTTTCAGGAACAGTCTAACCAGCACTATCGGCTTACAGCCGCCCGCGAGTCCCAGGGGATGGATGTCACCTGAGAAATAATGAAGTAGGAGACACTGGGGGTGTCACAGGGCTCAGCAGGGCACAGGACTCGCAGCGAGGGCCATGTATCTGGCAGAGAACTGACGGGCTCACTACACACAATTCAGGTATGAGGCTAAAAGTGGAGAGGAGCTGCTCCTTCCTAACACACAAGCTATGCATTTAATCAATCTGGAAAAGATCTTTGCAGAGTAACTTGAATCAACACTTTCCCAATAAACTCGTTCCTGAGGATCTTTTGCAAAAAAACAATCCTTTCTGAACTAAGCACATCAACACTTACAGCATCATGGTGCTGATTAAATCATGATACAAATTGTCCCTAGAAGATTTATTTTAATAAAACAAATCTTTCTAAAAGTGGTCAGTACGAAAGAGTTCAAAAATTCATGTGATATTATCCTGTGAGTCCTACCAGAAGATATATGGCTTCTTTACAGCAAATACAAAATATACAAAGGAGGGGAAAGACACGACTTAAATACAAACTCTCACACTTTGTACTTTAAGTCACATCTTTCCCCTCCTACTTTTTTTTTTTTTTTTTTTGCCTTTTTTTGGTAAATTAGGCGGCACCTGCACCTGCGGGGACAACTGCAAATGTAAAAACTGCAAATGCACATCAT